GAGGGTTGTGAATGGTATATAAGCCTAAGTGCTATTGCTATCTTCCTTCCTTCCTTCCTTCCTTCCTTCCTTCCTTCCTTCCTTCCTTCCTTCCTTCCTTCCTTCCTTCCTTCCTTCCTTCCTTCCTTCCTTTCTTCCTTCCTCCTAAAGGTGGACCCATCCTTCCATCCTTCCGAGGTTGGTAAAATGAGGACCCAGATTGTTGGGGGTAAAATGGTATATAAGTCTAATTGCTATTGCTATTGCTGTCTATACTTGGACAGAAGATGAGAAGGATGTCCTAACATTATAAGACAGAATGAAAAAGGTAAGAGAACATCCTGGAGGAACACAGTTTCAAACCACTTCTACATTATCCTTAAAATGTGACCACGTGTCCATCAAGAGTTGACTTGACCACATAAAGATTTTTTTAGCAAGCAGAAAGGCTAAAGGCCTCTGAAAATCTGCTTCATATAGGAAGTTGAACTTTGGAATAGTCTACAAAGTGGTTGAAGAAGGATGAACAATTTGCAGAAGGCTTTCTTTTTTTCTTTTGGTTATCGGAAAGACCGGACTGAATGTTATTCATAGCTGTCTTTGGTCGATGGCTTTTGCTATGCTTGAAAAAGTGATTTACCCAGCTTCTCTTTCTCTTCCTAGATCCTAGTTGAGCTTCCAGACAACAGCCTGAAAATCCAGATTCTGAACTTTCCATCACCAGAGCCAGCCTTCAAGTTGCCTTTTGCATCAACCTTGAAACCAAAGTGGTCTTATAAAGTGTTGAGTAAACATTTGTCATGTCAGTACAAAATCTGTCCCTAGGTATAGTAGCACCGGCTAATGTTTTTTTAGTAGACGAAACAGATTAGGGCTTGCTTAGTCCTTGAACAGGAGACCAATAAAACTAGCTTGGGAAGTTGAAAATAAAATTTAAAAAATTCCCAAAGACTCAGATTTTATTCTGGTAAAATAATTTGGCCTTCCATTCAAAATGCAAGAGGGAAAAACGATACCAAGGAGCTCCAGAAGAAAGACTTGGATTCAGGTCAGAGGCTAACATGAAAATGTTGAGATTGACCTTGTTAAAAGTTGTTTCAAGGGATTTTTCTAGAAAGCCAAACCTTCTACCACAGAAACTAAAAATGTTCTTGGCCCCAGTTGGTCAAAAAGAAAAAAAAGAAGAGACAAGACTGCAACATTGGAGGTTTTTAAGAAGAGATTGGATAACCATTTGTCTGAAATGTTATAGGGTCTCCTGCTTGAGCAAGGGGTTGGACTAGAAGACCTCCAAGGTCCCTTCCAACTCTGTTATTCTATTACTTGAAACTTAGCCTCCCACAGTCGTTCGAGACAATGAGATGCCCAGCATATAAATTTAATAAATAAATAAACAAATTTACTCAACTTGTAAAACAACTTCCCTAGTGGGCATTTGGACAAACAGCCGTTTGGGACTGGCCAATTGGTAAGCCTGCTCTTTCCACACTGCGCTTCTATCTTTCCCAGCCTGTATTAGCTACGTGATCTGACTTAAAGAGCTAATAAAGTTCCCCTTAAGCACTTCCCTGTTGCTGACGTCTCTGGTACGCCTCTTTTCCAAAATGTTGATTTGTCCAGTGATGAGACAGGATCATTGTTAGGTAAAAATAAAGACTTGTTTGCCTCTATTTTCATCTCCCGTGCTGGATGAGAACAGTTTAAAAATGAGCAATGCAGAACTATTTGTTAGCATGGTCTAATTTATGTGCCTGAAGCAACTTGTCTGCTACATCTTGCCCGTCAACAAACTTCTTCATTCAACCACAACAACACATGGGCAAATAACTGATACAAACTCAGGGTGAACCGCTTCGAACTCGATGGCAGAAAATATGACTTCAAGCGACAGAGTGGACAATGCCTGGAATGCCCTACTGGACTCTGTGGTTACAGCCTCAACCCCTCACACCTTCAACCTCAAACCGTCTACCGTGGACCTCTTCACCCCATTCCTAAGAGATCCTTAAAGGGGGCATGCATAAGTGCACCAGAGTGCATACCATCCCTGCCTTACTGTCCCCATTTATCTGTATTTACTTCCTTTGTTCTTGTTTATGTAGTACCTATACTTGTTACCTTGTACATGTTTGACTAACAAATAAAATAAAACAAAATAAATAAACAAATCCCAGCAAGATGTCAATGGCATTGCTGGAAAAAAATCAGTGCAGGACATGAACTTAGCACACTGTCAATGCATGTTGTTCTTGCTGTTCATGCTGTTCTTCTCTGACGCATCCAGATGGCCTCTGTAGGAAACCGAAGCCAAACGCTGGACAAGATGGAACATTTCATTGGATCAAGCTGTTTTCAAACCCAGCAGGAACCCAAAGCCCAAGATAATTTGGAGCAGAAGCTACAGAGTAACCTTAATGCAGCGTTTTCTCAAGTTCGGGATTCCATTTATGGAATATTTGGCCAAAAACTAAAATTGGCAGCCTTTGGGTGTAAGCGTTTCATAACAGCTGGATTTGATGGAATGAAGACAGCAGGAGGATGCAGAGACATCAACTGGCATTCCAATAGTTTCTTCCAACAGACTTTCACTTTTTAAAAGTGAATGTGCAACGAGAAAGGAGAAGGCCGTCACTGGCCACAAAAGAATGATCCATCTCTGGGTCATTTCTCTTGGGCAAACTGAATTCTGCTGCAGTGTTTATTGGGGAAGCGGAAAACTCTTGTCATGATATATACCAAAACAACTCAAACAGAACAGAATAACAAAGTTGGAAGGGGCCGTGAGGCCACCTATTCCAACCCTCTGCTCAAGCAGGAGACCTTAGACCATTTGAGATAATCTCTTCCTAAAACCTTTCCAGCGATGGAGCACCCACAACTTCTGAAGGCAACCTGTTCCACTGGTCAATTCTCACTGTCAGGCAATTTCTCCTTAGTTCTAGGTTGGATCTCTCCATAAGTTTCCTCCCATTGCTTCTTGTCCTTCCTTTGGGTGCTTTGGAGCATAGGTTGACCCCCTCTTCTTTGTGGCAGCCCCTTAGATGTTGGAACCCTGTGTCACCCCTAGTCCTTCTTTTCACTAGACTAGACATACCCAACTCCTGCAACCGTTCTTCATATGTTTTAGTCTCCAGCCCCTGAACATCTTTGTTGCTCTTCTCTGCACTCTTTATAGAGTCTCAACATTTCTTTTGTGTGGTGTGGTGTCCAAAACTGGATGCAAAATTCCAAGCGTGGTCATAAACATTTTAGCCACAATAACAAATGAAGCAATCCAATTCAGTATCAAAGCAGTACATGAGAATCTATATCTCGAACACATGGCCCAAATAAGTGTTGCAAGAAACTGAAAAGATAGATAATTTTATTTAAACAATGTCTCTCTCTCTGTGTGTATTTTTAAAAATGATTAAATACATTTGGTTTAAAAGGAATAACTCAAATCACTAATGGAGAAAAGTTTGGCGTGTACAACCCATAGAAAGCAGGCAATGAATGCAGCACAATTTAAGAAACAGGTTAATCCATAAAGAAAGAGAGAAATGGGTAATTTGAGGAGGGCTGAGCTCTAAAAACCAGGGGATCTATTTTTTGGGGGGGATCTATTTCTGTGAAAAGCAGGATAGATAATGCTCCAGCTCACTTTAAATGTGGATACTCAGCTCGGTTCTTATTACAAATTATTTGCAAATCAATATCCCTGAAAAAGAAGTTGTATGAACTGGGATGGCCAGTCCGTGTTCCAGAAAACTGATTTAAACTGATCAGTGGGATGGAAGATTTTCATAGCATACAAGGAAGAGATTTAATTCTTCTCCCCCTTTCATTGTCCCAGTAAAAATGATGTCATCCAACATTGAAATTAGTATCAGGAATAAAAGCATTCATGGGCACATGCCAATGAGTTCTCCAAATGAGTCATCTAAAAGGTTGAATCCTGGAATGGCATCAAACTTTGTTAATCTGAGACATTTTGTTGCTCATCCAAGCAACTTCATCAGTCAAAAATAATAAAAAAATAATTAGGCTCTCTGACTAATTAATTGTTTTATTTTTGTCAGAGTATATTCATGAACTGGAATAGAGCATAGTAACAAGGTCAGCCAATGAATAGGCATAGCAACTAAGTCAGCCAATGAGGACTGTTTGGAAACTGAAACTAGACGCAGCCTAGGCGTGGCTCTATATTAAGCTCTGCAGCTTTGAAGCTAAATTAAGCTCTGAGTTTGTCTATTGAAAGAGCAACTAACTTGTTTGCTTCCCTGCTGAATTAAAGTAAAACCGAGGTCTGTTTCTGAGCTACTGAGTTGCTGCTCTGCTCTGAGCCTGTGATATGTCTGCTTCTGTTTGAATTTGCTCTATGTTGGAGAAATCTACAACTGGTATTGTAAAATTTATGTGTTTATAAAGAAGTTAAATGAAGCCTCAGCCATCTGTGTTTACTTTTCTGGCGCTGAATTTACTCTGCAAAACTCTGAACAATTTTGACTGTTCAAGTTGCTTGGATAAGCAAGGAAATGTCCCAGATTAACAGTTTGATGCCGTTGCCAGGATTCTACCTTTTAGATACGTTTGGCTTGGATGATTGAGTCTTCATTGACGTTCTCCCTGGCCAAATTCCCTTCTCTTCTAAGGGAAAGAGGAGATAATTGAATTAGAAAAATCCCACATTCCCATGACTATAATTTTTTTTTTCCCCCAGGACACCAGTCCGATGCGTGTTTCCCCCCACAAACAGTAATGAAATAAAATAATCTTTGGAAATCAAACCCAGCACATTTTAGAGCAGGCACTTTTGATTCGGATTAAAAAAGACACCAATGACATTCCATGCATTTCAAACAATTGAAAAAAGTCCACACAGCCCAGACAAAATATTGCACACAAAATCATATAGGATCCTTCTGTACTCTAAAGGGTACAGCAACATTTGCAGAGTTTCTCTAAGAATGCAACAAAAATATCTCTATCTAACTACAGCAGACTTTTATATATATATATAATATATATATATAATATATATATTCCTGTATTTATTATATACCTTTAGAGGATGGAATATATTAGGAATATCAATCCAGCAGTGGGAGTTTTGACAGCTTTATGGGAAAAGATAATATAAAGCCAGCTGTTATTTTGAAAGTCACCCTCTAAAATTCCAGATGCTCTACTTAGTCATTCCCGCCGCACAGCTTGAGCAGGATTTTCTGGTAGTCCCCTGAAGTGTCACCCTGAAAGTAAAACAGAGACAAGACCCCAGATTGGAAGAGGAAGGAAAAAAGAAGAGTGAAGAAGTGGGACAGAATAGCTGGCTTACCAACAAACCTCTCAAAAGTAGTCACAAAGCTGCTTTTTCAAGAGGCAACTGGACTTTGTTTTTTCCTTGAAGAGATTTCGCTTCTCATCCAAGAAGCTTCTTCAGTTCTGAGTTGAAACTGTTCTAAGTTAGAAGTGAAGAAGCCTCTTGGATGAGAAGCTAAACATCTCCAAGGAAAAACAATGTCCAGTTGCCTCTTGAAAATGTCCAGTTGCCTCTGTTCCCTTCTCTCCACTTTGATGGAGACTGCCAGCTGATTCCATAAATATATAGGTGTGTTATACAATCAGTCCCACCAACCACATTTTACTGCTGCAATTGGGAGTTTATGAACTACCATTCCAACACCAGATCTTTTCTACTAGCTGTTAGCATTTTAGGTACCAGAAGCTCCAGTGGTGGGATTCAAATTTTTTTACTACCAGTTCTGTAGGCATGACTTGGTGAGCGGGCTTGGTGGGCGTGGCAGGGGAAGGATACTATAAAATCTCCATTCCCACCTCACTCCAGGGGAAGGCTACTGCAAAATCCCCATTCCCTCCCCACCCCACTAACCTGCTTTCCAGCTCCCTTCTCCTGTGCAGGGCAACCAAAGAAGACCTAGCCGATCAACTGGGATTCAATGGGAGGCAGAGAATAGAGGGGGGTGGGGCCAGTCAGAGGTGGGATTGGCCGGTTCCCCGAACTGCTCAAAATTTCTACTATTGTTCAGAACTGGTCAGAACCTGCTGAATACCACTGAGAAACTCCCAAGTCCCTTTGTTCACACAACACATGGCATTTTAAGCATATTGTGTGAGGAAAACCAATGTGTAATTATTGTCAATGGCAGCCTTTCTAGTTAAGCAACAGATTGGTTGATATTCTATGCCGCCACCCAAAGATAAGAGCCTGGATAAAAACTTGACCCTTGCCCAGGCCTTACCGAGATGTCCGTGTAGAGAGATTTTCCATACATTCTTTTGTATTCCTGCCGGATGTCCAGCAGATCAACTTCACTTCGTGAGACCATGATGCGTATAAGAGTCCGGTCCTTGGTTCCCGCCCCCTAAAGGAGATGACAGAAGGGGTCCGAAAAAAATTAGCCTTCCAGTATTTGAGAGGCTGCCACAAAGAAGAGGGGCTCAAATTATTCTCCAAAGCAACAGAAGACAAGTCAAGAAGCAATGGATGGAAACAATCTGTACTTGTTTGAGTTTGCTGGAACTACATGTTTTTTAATCCTTAATATATATCTCTATCTACTCTATATCTGCACCTATATCTATTTATTTCTTCTCTCTCTCTCTCTCTCTCTCTCTCTCTCTCTCTCTCTCTCTCTC